TTGACGGCCAGAAAACGGCTGTCTGCTCGTCGACATTCGCCCTACCGTCCGTTCGTCATAATCTTCGTCCTAATGTTATTATATTCGTAAGTAAGGCATGATTAGGTAAGATGGCAGGTCAAAGACCGCACGTGGACTGATTGCAGTTCTTTGTGAAGCCAATGAAAATAAGAACTCCTGTGTTCGGACTTACAGATTGGCCAAATGCTGACCTCCCGAAAGCGGGATAGTCAAGACGGAAGTACTGAGTTGTTTCAACTGCATCTTATTCCAAACAGCTTCTGCAGACGGCGTCTGGTAAGATTACGAATCTTACAGCTTGTACGCCAATAGGGTAATAACCCGTTAAAAGCCTTACAACCAGGGAGAGGCTAGCCTTACTGAATACAAAGAGATCGCTAGATCTCTTACGATCAATCTTGGCCCTTGGCTTTTGCGACTGTTTAAGTACCAATAATAGTCCAGCGTTGGCGAAGCATCCGCGAGGCCCGGCTATCCAGTAGTAGAAAACAAGAGCGGGAGCACTGACCCGTTCCTATTCTACCGATAATGATTCTAGGACACCTTTCCTTGCCAGCTCATCAGCTTTACAATTACCTGACAACATCTGTCGAATCAACATTACGACTTTCGAGAGAAAAACTCAGCTAAATATTTTAGTCTTTTCCGCGTTGGCCACGGCGAATATCGTATTCGATGGAATGATGAGCTGTATGAGATATACGACCACATTGACATAGTTCCGCGAATTAARTGACAGCTACGCTGGCTAGGTCATGTCGTACGTATGGACGAAAACACTCCACTCGGCTATATTGTTAAAGGAGAAGAAAAATAACGTCAATCGTTAAAAGGTCCGTTCACTTCTTGTTGTCCCACGTTATATATAATTACTTGCATGACCGTACTATCAATTTTCTATACATTGTGTTAACAAACAGTACCCGTAAATTTAAAATAAAAATATTAAGCATTGTTGTAAAATAAATAAATATTGCAGTACATATGTGAATGTTAAGGTTCGAATCTCTATATACATATGCACATTAATATTTGGCATACATCATCGAAAAGTGGGCTTGAATATCTCATATACATATATGTATACAGTGAAATTACCTATTACGAACAGTACTCATAGCCGGACATCTCTTACAACTGGACAAATTTTATGAACACAACGCTTTCCCTAGGTATTATTTTCATACAAAAGCAATTCCTCTCACCGGACACGGACACTATTGTGGTAATATTGTGATCAAATTATCTCTATTAAAGGACAAGATTTCATAAAATTTGTTAAGAAAGTTGTGTATAAATTATACTTCTCGATTATTAATTGTAGAAAATTTGAGAATTTTTTTTTGCGTTGTAATGGAATAATTGTCATTTATGCACTCCTCGCTGACATTAGCTCGCATTTATTAGTTCAATAGAAATATAGTGATGTGTGTTTCTGACCCTTGAATACATTTTCCAGTATCCTTAATTCAGGTATATATGATTTAGGGACTTTCGACTTTAAATCAGATTTTGAACTCGATACATTGATTTCCCACTTTCTTCCAGTAAAGTTAAGCCATGTACGAGTGTATTGGTCCATACATTTGGTATTTTAGTATATATTAAATTAGGCTTATTTAGTTGGGTTAATATCGCATATTTTTCATTTGAGTAATTAGATTGATTCTAATATAAATACACTAGTGGCCACGCAAAGCTTACCATTAAAAAATATCAAGTGTTGTGCATATTTGACAACACTTTATAGCGGTATAGACATTTTTTTATTTAGAAATAAGTTAATGACATGTTATTTATCAAAATTTATCAAAAATAAATTAAATTAAAAACGAAACACATTCTGCTATAGACCAAATAATTTGAGAGCCAGTACATTTTACAAAATAGCTCGAAATGGAAGAAACTGACATGCGATGAAAAAATTATATATTATATTTTTTAATTCCTTTTCATTTTTACTATAAGTGAAAGTAACGTTTTATTTTATTTTTTTTTAACTGAAATACGAAGTTTAGATGCGGTTTTGCTTTAAAAACAATAAAATTAGTAGCTTTGTGTTAGCMCAGAAAACATAGTTTGTGTCTTACTTATTAAACCTAATAAATTAAAAACTGTAATTAGATAACATAATTTACTTTATATCTGATTACTAAGACGAGATAAGATGACTGTTTGTCCGTCAGTCAGTTCGTCTGTCCATGCAAACTGTAACTTAGTATATCGGTATCTCCTTTGCAAAAAAGTAGGGACAATTTCGTAGATGGACGTTATCGGCGGCGTTAGTTCTGCTTTCTCCAGACTGGAAAAGGGAGAAAACCAAATGGGCCTGGCAGTGAACGAGGTCAAGATGAAATATCTCCTGTCATCCAACAAACAGTGTTCACACTCGCGACTTAGCTCTCACGTCACTGTTTTCAGTCATAATTTTGAAGCCGTAGATAATTTCATCTATCGTGGAACCAGCGTAAACACCACCAACAATGTCAGCCTGGAAACCCAACGCAGTATAACTCTTGCAATTGAGAAGCAAAGTTCTCTCTCGACGAACAAAAACCAAATTATATAAGTCACTCATAATTCCCGTCCTGCTATATGGTACAGAGGCTTGGACAATGACAACTACTGATGAGTCGACGTTGCGAGTTTTCGAGAGAAAAGTTCTTCGAAAGATTTATGGTCCTTTTCGCGTTAGCCACGGCGAATATCGCATTCGATGGAATCATGAGCTGTACGAGATATACGAAGACATTGGCATAGTTCAGCAAATTAAAGCTACGCTGGCTAGGTTATGTTGTCCGGATGGACGAAAACACACCAGCTCTGAAAGTATTCGACGCAGTACTCGCCGGGGGAAGCTGAGGAAGAGGAAGACCTCTACTCCATTGGAAGGACCAAGTGGAGAAGGACCTGGCTTCACTTGGAATATCCAATTGGCGCCACGTAGCGAAAAGAAGAAACGACTGGCGCGCTGTTGTTAACTCGGCTATAATCGCGTAAGCGGTGTCTACGCCAATTAAGGAGAAGAAGAACAACAATATTAATAATAATGAAATTAGTTGCATTGTAGTTTTGAGCAAAATTTATCTCAACGTAAATACTTTATCCGCTAATGAGTAAAATAATAGTAAGACTTTGTTTATAATTTTAAAATTTTTGATTTATTCTTCAAAATCCATGTCATCCCTCTCGAAGTAATCCCCCTTGGCCCCATTACACCTGTGTCAACGATTTTTCCAATCCTCGAAACAGTTATTAAAATCAATTTTCGAAATAGCCTTCAATGCGCGCATCGGCACCATAGCACTCAAATACTATTACTTGTCAGAGTGCACCACACCTCGATTGTCGAAGAAAACTTTCAACAAAAATTTAATTTTTTACTTGATTTGAGGTGTTTTATCGGCTTCGGCTCAGCCTTTAGAAGATATTCGGCCGATTGATCATCTGTTTACGGGTCGTAAGCATAAATCCAAGACTCATCGCCTATAATAATACATTTCATGACATCCTGACAGGCGGAATGCACTGTTTCACAGACGTTAAATGATAATTTTGATTTGACATTTGGAACAGATTTCACTAACAGTCCTACCAGCCTAAAAAAAATATTTGGACGAATAGGTTTTCGCACGAAATTTTAAAYTAAAAAATTTTACTTTTTTCCCACAGTATAAGTATATAAGTATGTTGGGTGTAGCTTGCTTTTTGTCATTTGAAGGGCATCAAAGCAGTTCCATAAGTCGTATGTATGAAGAATTGTTTCCATAATAGAGTCAATATATAAAATATATATATGGTATAACTTATTCATTTTGAGAACACCATGTCATAGGAAGCCTTGCATTATCGTAGGATATAGTTAATGAAATGCTAAAAATTTTACAAATTTTCAAAGAATGGGTTTAAAGTAAGGAATTATCTATACATATTCAAAAGAATTTGCTGAATAGTTAAAATAAAATGTACGCCAGTTCGAGATATTTTCGCAAATACAAAAGAAAATAAAAGTTTACCTGCTCATACAAGAAGAACGGCAGTTTCAGAGTTATATGATTATCTGTTTTCATTTGTATTTTATTATATTTTTTTTACTATGCCTATGCATATGTGTCGTATTATTTGGTTGAATTGGTATGAAAACATATATTTTCTTATGTTTGTGTGCAGATAAAAAATAAAATCTTTTACTCTTTGCAGTTTATTTTGAAATATCTTCAATATTTTTGTATATGTACTACTTGGTCCACACACTATTTAAGTTTGTATTTAAAATATAAAACGTTGAAATTTGGTCGGTTTATTATTTTTGAAAAAGAAAATCGATGATCAATTTGTAATATATTATTATTATGGAAACGCTTTGCACTTAAATCAACGATCATAACACATACACTAACAACATACAAGTATGAATTATGTCTGTAGCCGCTAAGCACACATGCATCCTAATTTATGAATACAAGAGTTGTATATACATATATACGTGTGTATACAGTATTTACAGCAACGTTTTCAATTCCGGTTTCAAGAGATTTATGCATGTATATGCATATTTATGTACACATTGCTTTTTATTTTTATATACACATATAAAAATGTACAAACATTTCATATAATTAAGTTATGAGCCAAAAATAAAACAAGCATAACATTTTTGTTAGTATATTATGTTGGTACGATGTATCAAATATACCAACTTTCGTATATTGTGTATGTATCCATGCATTTGTAGCAATTTATAAATGCATGTGTATCCAAATATATTCCTTGTATGATTTAGAAGTATCAAATCTTATATGATATCAATACAAATGTACAGATACATAGATGCAGATGCGTACATACATATGTACAAAGAATTAGCACCATAATTTTGAAGAAATGTTTTTTCGATAAAAGTGCGGATTCGATTTTAATTAAATGATTATTGTATACTCATTTTTGTTCTGACAAAAAGATAAACACTGCAGACTCACAAAAAAACTAAATGTTAGCACATTGACACCAACAACATATTCCGAGTTATTCAATCCAGTTAGAGGGTCGACGTAGTACTAGCAACTAATCGACCAGAAAGACTTTTGATAACTTTAAGGCCGTTGATATTATACACATACATATACATATATGCCTCTCGACAGCTTGCTCTCCACATAGTATTTTCTTTGATCTGAAGCTCAACAGATCAACGAACCTGCAATGAGAGACAAAAACCAAAGTTGGTTATGTGTCAAGAATATATGAACATATGTACATATGTATGTACATACTATGTGCGTAAATAGAGATTTATAAATTATTTAGGACTTTTCGATTTTCGGACCGGTTTTGTGCCGCTCACAATTCTCATATTATTACTCTCATAATGTTGATACCACAGCTTAGACCACTGAAATATACGAAAAATCATGAAAACACACGATTATTGGCCACCCGGTATTGATCGAGTCTCGAAACTACGTATTGACAAATGATAAATAATAGCATTTCGTCTATTTCAAACATTGCTACTATTGATGCATATTGTAACTCTCTTGAATAAAATATGAAACATGTAAAATATATGATGTACTATATGTATGTACATACACTAATAATTAATGAAAATGGAATGGAAAATTAATTTAATGAAAGTAAAATATCAAATCATCAATGTAAATATAAATTAATTTGGAACTTCTCTAAATAGCTTTTTGGTCTAACTTAAAAGATAGAATAGGTTATATCTTTTTTATTTTAAAAGTTAAAAGAAATCAAAAATTAAGTAATGATTCAATTTTTTCTTATCTCATAAAATTAAAGTAGCAAAAAATGTATAGCTGCTGCAAAAGTGCAATAATTATTGTATTCATACACATACATATATATATACAATTGTTGCTACTTTCGTTATAGACATTTTTAATATCACAATGCTAGATGATTTAACTCCCCTCTGCGAGGGAATTTTTAAAAAGTAATATTTTATCCGCAAAAGTGCGGAGGAATTGAGAACACGTGTGGTTCCATTGAATGACCGAATAAAAATACCCCTTTCATTTCAAATTATATTATTACAAATTTTTTTAATAATTATTTAAAGCTACTTTTCAATAATGAAACAAAGAAAGTGTCAATTCCAATTTTTTGTTATTTATTATAGCATACTTCGGGAGAACGTTAGGCGCTCTTTCGTTTACATTTAATATTGTCACGGCTTTATGTGAGGGCCACCAGCAATGTTTTGGTAAGAATAGATTGTTCCATTCTGAACTCGAATCGCATATTTACTTCATATTAAAAAATTACATTTTCATATACTATAGTTTTAATATTTGTAAAATTTTCAAATGTAACAAGGTATACTCCATTTATGGCACATCCATCAATTGATATTTCCAGAGAATAATATTGGTCGTTCTTTACCTACATTTATTTCTTATTATTCTTGCAACTTGTTGGAAAAGATTATAATGGTTTTGTTCAATTAAAGCTTGTACGTATCACCTAAAACTAAGCCAGATAGATATAGTTGTAACTTGAGTACAAATTTAGATATCTTGATAAAACTTGGTATGTAAGTTCCTTAGTATGAGTTCGTAGATGGGCGTAATCGGACTCTGCCACACCTAAAAAAGACCATTAACCGAAAACTTATAAAGTGCTAGCTAGAGGCTAAATTAAGATAGAAAATTCTAATTGGGCAAAGGGGATCGCATTGGCAAGGGGCACTTTGAAGCAAATTCTTTTGAAAAAGAAGTTGTGGTCACTTTCTCTATCTCCAAACCTACTAAAGCTATAACAAAACAATTTGCTCAGCGCAAGAGACATTATAAAACCGGATGAAATCGGAAGGTAATTCCGCTCACTTAACATATAACGGTACTATTCAAAACTACTAAAATAGACAATAAATAAGTAACTAATCACCCCAGAGACATTACATTTTATGTACGCGATGATATTAGAGGGCCTTTTAGGAGACGGTGTGGAAATTGGAATATGGGCGTAGCGGCGCCCACTTTTAGTGAAATCATAAATCTAGGGACCCGACCGATCGATTTCGACTAAATTTTGTACTTAGCTTCTCACATTCTTATGTCACAGTGTGAAAATGGGTGAASTCGGATTACAACGTCAACTTTCCATATAACACAATTTTAAATTCACTTTCCAGTACACCAATGAAGAAGTAGTTAATATAACGGTTGTTGCCGCCGCCCCCGCCCAATTTTCTTTGCCACGTCTGTATYGGCAGAACAATCTTTTCTTTCTTCCTTTTCGAAGTTTTTCGAAGTTTAATTCGCGCGCAACTAAACTCTAACTAAAAGAAGTTGCGCGCGCTCTCTTCTTTTGCGACCGCTCACCGATCCAGACGTGGTAAGTGTTTGTCCAATTTATTATTTGTAAAATACATTTATTATAAGAAACCTTTTGTTTTTTATTTAACATTTGTGGAATAACTTGCGCCGACCGTTTCCCCACGGCCAACCACAACTACGGAACGAACGAGCACCGTGCTCCACCACCCCAATTATCAACGGTAATAACATTTTGCACAAATAATTTCCTTAACGTATGTCATTTAACGACCAAAAATTGTCCAAATCCAACCAAAACTGTTCAAGCCTGTAGGTGCCAAATATGTGGAATCTATGGGTTTTAGAAATGAAATTCAAGCCGAATCCTTTTCTGAAAATWGTAATTCTGTGTATCAAAATGGGTTGAATAGGGTCAATAATGTATAGTTTTTGGATATTTTTTAATACCTTAAAGTTATAAATGCTCCTTAATTCCGTTATAGTCAATCGTCCGCGCTCATTATACTCTTCCAACCTGTTGCTACAGAGTAAATATAGTAGTTTTGTTCAACTAACCGTTGTACTTATCACCTAAAACTAAGCGAGATAGATATAGAGTTATGTATATATAAATGATCAGGATGACGAGAAAAGTTGAAATCCGGATGACTGTTAGTCTGTTCGTCCGTCCGTCCGTCCGGGCAAGTTGTAACTTGATATTTTTGATATTCTAGATGATAAAACTTAATATGCGAGTTTCTTAGTTAAAAAAAAAAAATATATATATATATATCTAGAGCTTGTAGTCTCATCGACTTTCTCCTCCCGAGGGATGTTTGAAAAATTTTGGTCGACACAGGTAAACGTTCATTGTATGTACGATTATACTTTGACTCAGGATAACATTTTTCTACCTTTGTTTGCCAAAGTTATTATTACACACACCGCACTTTACGAATGAATACTCTTTTGGTTAGAGATACTATTGAGTATCTCACACTTCAGTGAACGGGTGCGGGCGCGAATTAATTCCCTTTGCGAAAGAATTCTTAAAAAATTAATATTTTATCGGGCGGAATAAATGAGAGCGCATGTGGTTTTTTTGAGTGTCCGGATAAGAATTCGCTTTTCTTTTCAAATTACTATTATCTATATGTACATGTTCGCTGTTTCTTAAATAATCAAAAATATGAAAAAGATCTTATTTATGCGGCTGCATAATTTCAAAATTTCAGGTACAATTTCGTTTACTGTTTTCGTAAAGCTGCCGTGTGGAGGTTACTATTAAGTTGTTCAATCACAATTTGAGATGAGTGTATAATGGATCACAAACATTTTCGGGGTATTGCACAGAGCAATGCAAGATTTAGGACCGTTATGGTTAAAAAAAAAAAGATTATTGTGAATGCCAGACAATTCCTGCATTTCCCAGAAATAAATATTATTTACTTGGATCAACAGTCATTCATTCATCGGTCTATAGTACTCACAAATACAAATATTGACGACATTCATTTCTAGATATAACAGTTGCTACAAGGTGATCTATTGTATTTTAAATCAATCAATATTGTTGTTGTGAAAATCAAATTTTTCAATTCTAATTCTAAATTTTCTAGATATACTTGGAATGACATCAAATAATCTGTTGAAAATTGCTTCTCCTATTATACTTCACCGTAAATCGAATCCAATTCAGTTTTGCAACCGTACTCGCTTGAGAATCAAAAATATGTCAAGAAAAGTTATTGAACTCGCAATTTTGACTTGACATTTTATTGGAGAAATAATCTTGTTGCCACATATTTCAATGATACTATCAAAATATACGATTCCTTTTAGAGTGCTATAGTTGGGGAACGATGGAATCTATTAGAGCTAAACTAAGAGCATTATCAAACGAATTAACGTGCATTAAAATTAAATTGAAAATGTTTACAAGTATAATTAAGAACAGCAATATTATTGTTAAGAATTAACAATAATGTTGAAATGCAACCCTTTAGCAACTTACATTTTTGAGTAACCCTGATTTTAGTTTTGTAACACAGAAACCAGAACATTCTTTTTCACTAGCATTTTAACTTTTGAATAAACTACATTTTTATTGTCTTTTTGAGTTGAACATTCCAAAGCATTTTTTCTTAGATCCGTGAAGGTGCAAAAGTAAGATATACAACAGGTTATGGGCCCAGGTGCAAATTCCTGGGAACCTAGTAAATCGCGTTAAGTAATTAATAAACAAGTAAGGAAGGACTAAGTTCGGGTGTCACCGAACATTTTATACTATCGCATGATGGTGATAATCGAGATTTCAGGCGTGGTTGTGAACCGATTTCATCCATATATGGTACATGTCATCAGGGTGTTAAGAAAATATTATATACCGAATTTCATTAAAATCGGTCGAGTACTTCCTGACATATTTGGTTTGGTCCATAAGTGGGCGACGCCACGCCCATTTTCAATTTTCAAAAAAGGCCTGGATGCAGCTCCCTTCCGACATTTCTTTCGAAAAATTTTGTGTTTCTGGCGTCTTTTGTTAGTCGGTTAACGCACTTTTAGTGATTTTCAACATAACCTTTGTATGGGAGTTGGGCGTGGTTATTATCCGATTTCTTCCRTTTTTGAACTGTATATGGAAATGCCTAAGGGAAACGACTGTATACAGTTTAGTTGACATAGCTATAGTAGTTTTCGAGATATGTACAAAAAAGTTAGTAGGGGCGGGGCCACGCCCACTTTTCCAAAAAAAAAATACGCCCCTCCCTAATGCGATCCTTTGTGCCAA